GGCACAACACTGCCCCTAGGGGAACCGAGAGAACATGAGGGTGCCTCCACGATGACCCAAGTTAGCAGGAGGTAGGCTAAGACAATTTCGTGACTGCTCAAAAGAACCCAAGAAACCCTAAATATGGTTCCGCCGACACAGATCTTCGAACGAAGCAGCCGAACAAAAAAAAAACAAACGAACATCTCCCAAGTGTCGACGGACGTATCAGCAGTAGTTATACTCGTAAGCTGCTGCTTTAACAAGTATTTCGATGCATCGGGATGCACTCAGCGTTGGCCAACCCCCAACAGAGCCTCACTATACGATCCTACGCGCGCCACAATGGCCTCAACCCCATCACCTTCACCAGGGGCAGAGGCAAACACCTCCTCCGAGCAGGGGAAACAGGAGCTTCGGCCAGTGAGAAGACACAGCTCGATAAGATGCCTACGCCCAGAGGGGTGGTTTGTCACGAAACCTCTCTTGCTACACCTAGCGGCAGACTCATGGCGGGCACGAATGTGCCACGAAACCTATATTGCTACACCTAGCTACAGACGCATGGTTGGCACGCAATGGTCATGACACCTCTCTTGCTACGCCTAGCTGCAGACTCATGGAGGGCACGAAATTGTCACCAAACCTTTCTTGCTACACCTAGCTGCAGACCCATGAAAGACGACGCGAAGTTGCCACGAAACCTCTCTTGTCTTATGTAATGATGTTGCATGTAAAACGGCACTCACAACAAAGAAATCCAGGTCGGCCTACACCCTCCATTCAAGGTCACACATGCCTCGTGGGTGCCCTGAGGCCCCACTATGCGCGAATGGCAACCTAACATGCACCGTGCATACGTCCACCAGCTTCCACCGAGGTTCCGCGGCCTCACGATAAATACCCCAACGGGCATCCACTAACGTTTCGTTGCCATTTGCCCCCCGCAAGCTTTCCGTTACCATCCGTCCCCCGCAAGCATGTCGTTACCATTTGCCCCCCTCAAGCTTTTCGTTATCATTCGCCCGCCCCGAGCTTTCTGTTACCCGTTGTCCACCACAAGCTCCTTACCGCTATCATTTGCACCCCACGAGCTGTTCGCCACCCTTTGCCCCCCACAAGCTGTCCGTTACCACGTGCCCCTACAAGCTTAATTTTGTTACGGCTTGTACCCCGCGAGTTTTTTTGTTATCATTTGTCCCCCGCAAGCTGTTCGTTGCAATTTGTCCCCCGCAAGCTTTGGGTCACCGTTTGTCCCCCCAAGCTTTTCGTTGCCATTTGTCTACCCCTCCCCGCCGATGCGCTTGCTACCGTTTGTCACCCGCGTGCGTTTCGTCACTAGTTGCCTCCCTGTGATGTTCGCTGCAATTCGCCCCCCCGCACCAACTTTTCGTTGTCATGAGCCCTGCGCGAGCTGTTTTTCGTTGCCATTTGTCCCCCGCGAGCGTTGCGCTACCACGCTTCCCCCGAAGCCTCTCACGAAAATTACCCCGACGAACGTGCGTATCCCAACGAGCCAGGAACCGCGAACCACGAACCGACGGGACATTTCATTCTCGGAATGGCAAGGGCGGCCACGCCAACGCGCAATTTGCAAGCGCGCAAGCTCGCTGCAGCGACTGAGCGAACCCGCGGCGCCTAACGACGCGCCCGCGCCCCTCAGTCGCCGCCCGCGCCCAGGATAGCCACGCGGCGCACCTTGCGCGTCAGCTCCCCCCCGACCTGGCGCACAAGGCCGAACTGGAAGTTGCGCGCCGCTGCGCCGCAAAAGGCGGACGCGCAGAATCATTGCGCCCGCGGTGCCGCTCAAGGGCATGCTGTGCTGCAGGGCCGTTGCGCATCGCGGCGATGACCGCGCGGCAACCGTTCGGCCTGCTGGCGACGCAGAAATTGGGTTGCACCTCCATTCCGTCTGGTCATGGCGCGAGCAAGGGCGGAGAGGGCGGCGCGGAATAAAACGTCCGCGGATGGCAAAGGCAGCGCCCTTGCAGAGGCCAAATGTCAAAGGCGCTTTGCCCGCTGGAAAACGCGCCGTCGGCAGCGCGAGAATCGCCAAGCCTATAAGCAGGCTGTGCGCATGTGATCTGAAGGCCGTTTTCTACCCCTTCTAAAAAACCAAAAAGGATTGCCGCGAAATCGCGAGGGGGGGGGGGGGGGGTACTTGGCAAAATTCCCATGAAGTTCCCAGCTGGAAACCAACCCGTTTCTGTTTCATGCTTAATTAAAATACTGCAGCGACGCAGAATTGAAAGGTGGGAAAATAAAGGAAAATACACAAAACAGGTTGGAAACTACCAGGGAGAGCATTAAAGACAATTAAACCCAGATTGGTTGAACCAGAAAAGATTAGAAAATATTAAAAAAAAAGATTGAACAAAAAGATTAAACCCAGATTGCCCCACCTGAAAAAAGATTGGAAAAAGATTGAAAAAAAGATTGAACAAATATTTAACCCAGAGTGGCCGCGCCAAAAAAAGATTGGAAAACGATTTTAAAAGAAAAGATCGAAAAAAAAAGATTGAACTACAGATTTGCTGGGCAAACAAGCAAACCGAAAAGATTAGAAAAATATCTCGCCGTGCCAAAAAACGACGGCGACACCAAACACCAAATTTGCACAGCCACCAAAAAACACTCACGGGCATCAAACATGTTTGATCTTTGGCGGGCAAACCCCCGACTGTCATCTCTGCAGTTTGATCTTTTTGGTCTCAGAAATAAAGATTAAAAAAAGATTATGTTTGCGGCGGGGCAAACCCCGAACTATTCGATTTTCAAAAAGATTGCTCTTTGTCCAAAAGATTAGAAAAATATTAGAAAAAGTTTAAAAAAAAGATTAACCGTTGACGGGCGCGGAAAAAAAGATCAAACCCTTGAGATTGCTTTTCGAAAAGATCTTTTTCCAGATTCTCGCTGGCCGTTGCCCGCGGTCTCTGGAATCAACTTGGTTTGTCCGTGCCCGTCGAAACGCCGATCCTGCGATCTGCGGTTTTTGGTCGGCCGCCAAAAAACAGATTTGCCGACGCGCCGCCCCGTTCGGGCGCGCAAGCGCGCGCTGAGCGCCGACGCTGCGGCGTCGCAGCGGCGGGGCGGAACCCGCGGCAAAACCCGCGGAGTCGGGGCGCAGGCGGCAGGGGGCGCGAAGCGAACGTAAAGCCCCCTCGGCGGACAGGCAGGCGAGGCAGGCGCGACCCGCCCCAGAAAAAAAAAGCTCCGCAGGCGCGCGCGGACGCCGCCTGGAACGCAGCCCCTGAGGCGGGCGGCGCGCGGCGACGCGTGCTGCAGCGAGCGCAGCGCCGTGACAAAGCAAATCTGCGGCGCGGCGCCGCGACGCGCCGCGACCCCCCCAGGGGCCCCAGCAGCGCGCGCTCTAAGCAGAACGCCTGCGCCTGCTCAAGCTGCGAATTATGGATCCACCCAAAGACATGGGCAACGCCGAGCGAACGCTGCGCTGCGGCCACGCACCGCAAGCGTGGAACGCATAGAGCGCGCCGCGCTGCGTCGAGAGCGCGCGACGCATAGATGTCGCCCGTGCGCTCGGGTCCAGGGTGCGACGCCCTAGCGACGCGCGCGGCGATCGAACCGCGGCTGTCGACCGACCCGAGAGCGCCGCGCGATGTGGCGCCTACCGCTGCGCCAGTTGTCCCCGACCAGGATAACTCCGGCGCGATGCCCAGCAGCACGAACGCTCAAGATCACGCGGCCTGGGGGCGCGCAAAGCGCCGCACCCCTGTTCAACGCAGGTCAGCGCGCGCACCCTCTGTACTACATCTCGCCGAACGCGGCGCTGGCCGCTGCGCACCGCGGGGCGCTGGCGCCCGCGGCGGCCGCGACGGGGCGCGCATGCTGGCCATCCTCCCGCGCCGCGCCAATACCAGCGCCCAGGCGGCGCGAAAACCGCGCGTCGCCATGTATTCGCGCGCCCCGCCCCTTCGCAAACCAAAGAAACACCGTCACAGATAAAAAGGTTCGCGCGCACGCTCGGCCCACGTCGACGCGCCTTCGCGCGCTTCGCTGTCACCGCCCCGACATGTCTGCCAACGCCATGCTTCGCGAAAACATCATGTGCGATCGGCCCCGCTTCGGCGCGCCCTTCCTAGGTGCGCCAATGGCGGATGGCCCCAGCTGGTAACTTCACGCACTTACTTGGAGCGCGCCAGCACGCGTGCATTAACGCATGCACGCGTGCCATCGCCAACAATACCGTCGACGTTTTCAATATGTGTTGGTGTGAATTACTTCGCTTCAGTTGGTTCTGTTCAGCCAGGTGTAGCGCCGCAATGGTTGCACCGCAACGCTTGCGCCGCGCAGGTTGCACCACCTAGGTCGCGCCACATTGTTTGCGTTGCGCGGAAAGCACGACAAAGAGTGCATCGCCTACTACGCCACGCAAATTTGGAATGACATTGTAGCGCTCCAATGTCATGCCAGACATACTGCACCTTGATCGCGGAACCACTGGGGCTCAACAGATGTGGCACAATTAATGCGCATTCCACGCAGGCCCGTGAACACAACAAATGTCGTGCGAGCTGTTCCAAACACGAGCACGCACGCGCATGCGCAGACGCCCCTGCATGCCCAAGTAAACGTTCACCCGAACGACCGCCCACCTGCATGTGTCAGGAATGTTTCGTTATCCGACGGCCCACAGCCACGCTGCAAACACAGATGCGCACGGCCACGGCGTGCCCCGACCCCGCGTTGCGAATGTGCGCGGCGCTGCGGCGATACCCCTTTTAACAACAGAAGTGCAGCCCATGGCCGTCATCGTGTGTAGGAGGACGCAACGCAGGCGGAAAGGAAGCGGGCGAAGAGGAGGAGGGGTTAGATGAGAACCCTGTTGCCCCCAACGCCTCAAATACGCTTGTCATACGTCCTTCGGGTTCCCGTGGTGCCCCTCGGAAATCTGCGCGAGCGGTTGTCGCCCTTCCTCCTCCTCCTCCTCCACCTCCTCCTCACCTTCCCCCTTGTCCTTTTCGTGCTCTCCATTTTACAGGCACCACTTACAATGCTCTAGCCCGCCACATCTTGCGGGCCGTCCAACTGGGCGAAAGCCTCAGCAAGGTCAGCGAGCACCTTGCGACTGCCCCTGAGGAGGTTGCGGTCCTTACCGATCTTGATCCTCGACATGGTGTCACCCTCGAGGCAGGTCGCCGCGGTGCCGATGAGGTCGCCGACCCGCGGCACCAAGGTCTGGAGCTCGCGCCTTGGGCCCATTCGGCACGCACTCACAACGATGTCGCATCCACCACCACCCCTTGCCCTCGCGGCGCGGTCTGCCCCGCGCTATCTAGGCCAGCCTTCCGATGAAGACACGTGCGCGATCGGAAGGCTGGCCCGCATCCTGGCCGAAACAATCTGGGATGTCAGCTGCGCTTCTGCGCGCTGCACTCATAGAGCGAGGCAAACGCACCGCGGGGGCAAGAGAGGGCGGCAGGGACAACTGGCGGGCGTGCTGGATCATATTCGGCATCGGCCGATCCCATCACCCACTCAGCCACCCTGAACCCCAACTCAGAGGTCGACAGTTGGGCGGCTGGGTGAATGAGGAGAAACCGAGGACGATAGATGCCCTGAGCGCCACTCGGCAGTCGTCAAGCCCAAGTGCTGATCACCCATGTCCACGCCGCTGTTGATCTCCTGCTCTGCTGAAGGGCGGCCAGCAAGTCCGACAGCGAAGTGGAGCGCAAGGCGCGCCCTGCGGAGATCTGTGAGGTGGTGATTGCTGGCTGGATCCTCGAGCATGGGCACTAGCTCTGGCGGCGTCGATGGCGCAGCGATGTGTTCGATGTCGATGACCATGCGACCGCCGTGCTGGACCGCTGACCCCGCTGCCGCGCCGCCTGGAGCGCTGACACCGCTGGCGCCTGGAAGGTGGATCCCGCTGCTGATGCCTGGCACGCTGACCAGAGTGAACACGCCCTTCACGCGGCCTGCACTGCTCGAGTCGGCCGACATGCCCTCTGCAACCGAGACCCCGTTGACGAAGACGCGGTGGCTCACACGAGCTGGCACTTGGCGGCCAGGATGCAGCGACGGCGTCGGGGTATAGCTCGGCGACCTCGACCTTGACATGCGTACGCTCGACGTGGCAACTGGTGCGGCGGTCCTGGTGCTGCGCCCAAGCAACGCACAACTCAACCGTGGAAAAAGGTTGTCGCACAACCGAAAGATTTGAACCACAAATGGCAACAGAATACGAGACCCACCTAGAGCCGTCAAGGCCCCTGGCTTCACACGCGGTTATAGAGCATGACGCCCATCAACGCTCATCCACGGCGGGTGTGCCTCATGACCTGTGGCTTCGTACGCAACCATGTGGCCCCAGCGCGGTGTTCTTAGGAGGGGTGATTGGTTGCGCCTTCTGGCATCATAATAAAACTTTGTCTGACGTGTCGGGCGTAGGGTCTGTTTAATTTTCATATGGCCCCCATGGCGGCCGCGCTGAGGTCACATTGGTGCAGCTTTGTGATTTCAAGGGCAGGCGCCGCGTGACGTTGGGGCGCTCTTGGGCGGGGCATGTCTGGCCACCTGTGTTCGTCATTGGAAGGCCTTCGGTCATCTTGGGGCGTCGGGGGGAAGAAACTGTGAAAACGATGAAACCTTACAACATACGTTGGTATATGTATGGCGCTGACCCCTCGCCGTAACCTTGTTCGTCGTTATCTCTGTGTCAGTGCGGCAATTTACTAACGTCGGTTCAACTATGTCTAACTGCAACTGGGTCTGCACGCGCGTGCGTCTGCGACGGGGGGGGAGGCGGCGCATGAATGTGCATGGGGCTGCGCGCCTCAAAGAATAGGCCTCGAGAAGCACACGCGCGGCCCCGATGGGCCACCAGCTATTGCGTTATACGCCCTAGGGCACCAACCATGAAAGGCACCAACCACATCCAGAGAGCAAACGCACCTACATTATTGACAAGACGGCGGGGCAGCCCTAACCAACATGATGCGACTACCAGTGCGACTGGAACTGGCATGGGCACCGAGCACTAGACCATCTGACGCTAACCGTCTAGACATTCATGCCCTGACTGATTTGGACTGTTGCGTATTTCCCCGTGCACATGTGAGATGATGCAGACTAGGCGCCGCGGCTGGAGAAGATCCCAGCGCTTCGCGCACCAGCCAGCGAAACCACCATTGCGAAGGACCCGCAACACTCGGGATGCAAACGAATGAGCTGCCAAGTCCAGCCCGCTGGAATCCATCGTGCTGAACGTTAATGCGAGGAGGGGGTGATACATATCTTCTGGACTTTACCAGGGGAGAGAGGGCAACAGTCTTCATATTGTGTAATTGTGGAGGGGGGGGGGGGTGGGGCAGGCGCATCGTGGGCGCGCGCCTCTAATCTGACTTCGTACTGATCCCTCTCATATCTTGCCATGGCATGGCGTATGTGTCCTCTTATTGGCAAAATCAGGTGTCGTGACGTGGCAAAGTAGAGGAAGGAACTGCACGGCAGAAACAGGATTGGAACGCACGGACGGCCGAACATGATGCCAGCGCTTCAGCGGGAGCCAACTTTTTCTGATAAGCAAGCGTGTGCGTATTGGAAGAGCCAAGGCATGTGACACACGACATGTTAGCATTAGCCAAATGAACTTCAAACACTCCACCTCTGCGACTTGCAAGGCGCACGAAGACCTTACATAACACCCATACCACTGGGGACTTGGAGCAACCACGTCCACTGCACTGTGTTTGCGCTGCGTTGCTTGCCTTAGGTTTGCGATGCATTCTGAAACTTGTTTTAAGTGTGTGGGTGTTTGATGTTGTTGCGTAAGGTGCGGCGATTTGCATTATGACATCTATTGTGCGCCTAGTGTCTTTTTTAATGTGCATTTGTAGTATTGTTAACCCTAGCATTTTTCTCACTAAGCTTTTTTACTGGAACTCTGGCGGCCCCCCATGCTCTGCAACATCGGGCAACACTTTCTCTCTCGATAACAAGAGGTGTGCGTCGGCACACTCCGCAACGAATAATGTCCTCGCAGCCTCTCGGACTGCAAAACTGCATCCTGCCGAGGCTGTCATCTTGTGAACATCGGCATCGCCGTGCCCCTCGTCGAGCAGAAATGCGCACAAGAAACCCAGAGGCTTGCCACCACCCTTCTTACGAGTAGTCTTAGGGGCGCAAGTTCGAGTGACCCTGCATTTGCAACCGTGGCCGTCTTGGCTGCACTCGGCGACCATGTCGCCGCTCTTATAAAACTTCAGGCGGTGGCCTCGCCAGAGAATATTCACATCCGCGGCATCGCGGGGACCGATGACAGGCGGGGCCTTGGCTGGCGGCGGCAACGGCGGAGCAGGCGGCTCTGGCACAGGCGGGCCAGGCACGTCTCCGCTTCCGCTGGCAGCAGCAGCGGCGCCGCCACCCGCTCCAGAAGGTAAGTCGTGCTGGCCGCCGTCGTCGAACTCCACGTCTTGGATGGCCAACCTCAGCTCCTCCGCTAGTGGGAGGAACGCGTCCCCATCATCATCTCCACCGTCGTCACCGCCTGCATCGTCGCCGCCCCCCTCGTGATCAGGAGCGCCCTCGCGGTCCTCGCGGCCGTCGTCTGCGCCGACGTCGGGGTCGTCGCCCTCCCCGCCCTGATCGTCGGCGTCGCCCGCAGGCGCTCCACCGCCAGCAGCAGGTTCCGGAACGGCGGCACGCCTGCGAGCCCACAGTGCAAAGCCGTCGAAATCGTCGCGGACCAACTGCTCAACAAGCACGTCCGCAGGTCGCATGGACCCAACCACGGCCTCCGAATCATACAGCTTGAAAAAAACTAAATTGTATTTCCAGCTGGCGTCAAGCTCGGAAAAGACGCCCCACCTGTCGCACCCGACGCCAAGTGCCTGGGCAACTGACGCCCCAAGCCTACTGCAATGTGTCACTTATGGTCAGTCTAGACACATGAGCTAGCATTTGAACGTAGACGTAGAGAACACCGCCAAAACAAACGAAGCACCCTGGCGCCCGCATTTCGTCAGCACAACACCCCTGGGGCTGGATTGGACAAGGTGCGCCACGGTTCGCCTGCAAACCGCCCTGGGGGATGTGCGCCCAGATTGCAATTACCTTCAGCGGTGCCGAAAAGCGGCCAGCTGGCCGTCGGGCCGCCCCAAGTGGCCCAATATTGCCCCTACACGGCCCAAGACAAATACAGTGTCTTCCAAGCTGGCCCAATATGACGCAAGGTTGCCTAATATACATGCGGCGACGCAATCAGAAACCACGGAAAACAAAAAACAAGATGGCCCCAAGACGATGCTGGGCCGCTGCAAGGATGCCCACCCTTAGGAGCCCAACCCCCTCACACGCCGATGGGCATTAAATTATTGACGCTTCGCGCATCCCCACCAGCCCATCCAGAAACGATCAGCAGGGGAGGTGGTGAATCAGGGGCGGCAGAACACATGCAGTCGCGCAGCCGTCTTCGAGAACACAAGCGTCACACATAGCTTCCCGCATTGAAGCTTAAGATGGAAACCAATGCAAATTACGATGGTGCTTCGATGAGAGGTGAGGGGTATTTTGGTGACTCGTAATAGCGGTTGCACCGATGTGTATCTTAAGCCCGCGTGCGTTCCGAAACTTCGAGGCATCTTGGGGCCATCTTGGGATTTTCTTGGGCCCCTCTTGGGGCCTCCTGGTGCTCTTTGTTGGGGCTCTCCTGAGGTCCTCTTAGGGCCTTCTCGGGTTTGCTCGGGGCTCGTTTGGGGCATTATTGGGGCACTATTGGGGCTCTTTTGGAAGGTCTTGGAGCCCTCTCGGGGCACTTTGAAGAGGTTATGGGGGGCATATCGGGGCAGTATTGGTCCTCATGGCTAAAGAAGGAGGGGTGGGGGCAATGCTTGCCCCCCCTTCGGAGGCTCAAAAATGCCGCCTTGGGGCCCTCATGGCCCGCTCTTGGAGCGCTCTTGGGCGCTCTTGGGGCCGTCCTGGGGCTCTCGCGGGCCCCATCTCGGGGCTGTCTTGGGCCGTCTCGAGGCCATCTTGAGGCCTCAAGAGCCCTTCGGAGGCGAGAAAGCGAGAAGGCAAACCACATTGATTTCCCTTTGGCGTTTGAAAGGGTTTGGCCTCTTGGGGGGGTCATTGGAAGCATCGGAGGGCACTTGAAACCGTCTTGGGGCCGTCTTGAGGCATCTTGGGCGCGTGTCGGAGGCTATCTTGGCCCGTCTACCGTTGTCTTGGGCCATATTGGAGGCCATCGTGCGCTCTCGGAGGCCCTCTTGGAGCCATCCTGTGCCATCTTGGGCCCTGCCATGGGCCCGCCATCCCCCCCCCCCCCGCCCAAACGCAGGGAGGGGGAGAGGTAAACCTCCCGAGCATGGAAAGGCAGGAGGTTGGAAAAGGGAAACGCCCTAAACCACCTGCGCCCAAGAGGGCTGGTGGGAGTTGCTTTCGCGCTGGTTCGCCTACGATGCCCATCCGAGGCGTCAAGGCTGCGCCAGACTGGCCATATAACGCGCCAGGTGGCGCTCGGCGAACGCCCCCGAGAGGGCCCCGAGACGCCGCCACGAGACCTGGGACAGTGCGCGCACGCGCTCGCATGAACACGCGATACCATTGTTACACCATTACTGCTTGGACATGCGCGCGCGCTGCCACGTGAACGCGCGAGTGGCCATGCAGGTCACGTGGCACCCGCTAGTACTAATACCACTTGCGCGCCGACCCCGAAAACATGCAAGCGCTGCGGTGCACGCAGAGGCTGGCCGCATGGGAACACAGAAGGGCGCGCAATGGAGGACATACTCACCAACCCTAACAGATCAACATCACATTCAAGCCCGCGTTGCGCGAGCGCCCTGCGCAGACGTTCCTTAACGTTGCGAGCGTGGCAGCTTTGCGCACCAACGCCTGCCCGCCAACCAATGGTGCCCTGACGAACCAACCAGCCCTCCGGGCGTAGGTAGTCAAGGCACCCCTTCCACCCCTCATTCCCCCCTTCGGGAAAGGGTTTACCCAGCCCCCGACACCCTCCCCATGGACCTAGTGCGCGGCGCACCGCGAGGGACCCGAGCGTCCAAGATTGACCAAGACTGCTCCAAGCAGGCATCGAGACCCCAAGGTGGCCTCGAATATGGCCCAAGATAGCGCCAACTGCCACAAGATGGTACCCAACATGCTGACAGAGGCTCCAAGACCGCCGCAAGACGACTCCAATGGGCCAAGAGTGCTTCCCTCATGATGCCCCCCCCCAAAGAGGCTAACATGCTTCAGAACCTTAGGGTAAACATGTTGGTGGTATCGCTTTCGCGCTTCCGATGCCCGCCCGATGC